TAAATGTACATAGCCACATGTGGCTAGCTCATCAGACAGTCAGGGAATCTGGCTTTGGTTTGAGCTGTGCTCTGTCACAGACAGCCTGGCACCTGTTTAGTTTGGGAGAGGGCTGATTTTAGACCTCCCTCCCAAAGGCATGTCCCTGGTCATCTTATTGATTGATTGTGGCACTGGGATAGGACCTAGGCCCTACATATGCTAGGCAATTTACTCTACATCTGAACTATACACCTAACTCCTTTTTATTTTATTTTTTTAAACCTATCCATCTTAATCTGGGTAATGTTTTACTGGTAAGTTTTTTGAAAGCACTGATTTATAAAATGGGGACATAAATAACTAGGTCACAGGGTCACTGGAAGGATTAAATGAAATGAGACTTGTAAAACCCCTAGTCTAGTGCCTGTGCATAATCAGTGCTGGAACAGGAATGACCATGTACCTGTTCATCAGGATGCATCTGAGAGTAAAAGGGTGGTACAGTTAATCATGACAGAAGAGTATGTATAAGCTCAGGAAAACAGATGTGATTACTCCAGTGTTAGGCAAATTATAACTAGGAGTAGAATAGTAGCAGTGACAACATGGCCTCCTGGACCTTGATGAAGCCACAGTGGTTTGGGGTGGAACCCTAGGCTCCTGCAAACCATATTTCTACCCTGAGTAATGTGATAACTCAGGCTGTCAGTGACTCAGTTCCAGTGTGAGAAAAGAAGGGGCCTCCTGGTATCCCTTTGGATGCTCCTCACCAGGGGAGATGGACCCTGAGTCTTAGAACCACAGACAGAATAGGGCATGGTAAGCCACTGCCAGAAGGCCATTGGTGCTTTTTGGTTTTTGGCCTCTGTACTCTGCTTCTCCCAAGAGAAAGGTCAGAGACGTTCCACTTTTACCCCTCAGAGCCACAAACCGGAGGGAAGTGGAGAGCCGGAGCTCAAGCCTCGAGTCCAGCGAAGCACGTCAGAAATTTGCAGGAGCAAAAGCCATCTCATCTGACATGTTCTTTGGGCGGGAGGTGGATGCTGAGGTAAGTGGAATTGTCTACCTGAGGCTGGCAGCAGCAAACAGAAGCAAGAACTTTCTTCCTGCCTCTACTTTGGGTTTTAGTAACAGAAGGGCTCACCCTATGAGTTCCTGTGTCATTGGCCAAAATATCTCCAGGTCTTGCCTTTTCTTCAATTTAGTATGAAGCCAGGTCTCGGCTACAGCAGCTCTCAGGCAGCAATGCAATCAGCTCTTCGGACCTCTTTGGGGACGTGGATGGAGCTCATGGTGCAGGTAGGGCCCAGTAGGGTGGTGGGCACTAAGCAAGGCTTGAGAGCTCAGCTGGGAGGGCCCCATTTTGGGGAATGGCTTCCTGCAGGGCTCTGAGTCACCCCTTTCCTTGCTTCTTATAGGAAGTGTGTCTCTGGGGAATGTGCTTCCTACGGCTGATATTGCCCAGTTTAAGCAGGGTGTCAAGTCTGTGGCTGGCAAGATGGCTGTGTTGGCCAATGGCGTGATGAATTCTTTGCAGGTGAGACTGGGCTGCTGAACCTGGGGAAGAGGTCTGAAGAGTAGTGCCTGGAGCTTTGCCTTCACCATATTCAGACATGCCACTGGCAGCCTTAAAGAGAGCATTTCCTTTCAACTCTGTTCCAGATTTGGGCCTCTCCCTAAGACAGTGCTATGTCTTGGGTTGATTTTCCCCTTTTTTTTTTTTTTTTTTTGTACTGGGGATTGAACCCACAGGTGCTTAACTACTGAGCCACATTCCCCTCCCTTTTTATATTTTATTTTAGAGATAGGGTCTTACTAAGTTGCTTAGGGCCTTGCTAAGTTACTGAGGCTGGCTTTGAACTCATGATCTCCTGCCTCAGCCTCCTGACCACTGGGATTATAGGTGTGCACCACCATGCCCAGTGATTTTTCCCATCTTGTCAACTGTACCACTCTCCTAGCTGTGAGGGCTAGCTCCTTGGATTAGTGTCCATGCTCCCCTCCCCAGCTCTCATCAAGTTTCCTACCTGTGGGGGCCTAGCCCTTTGCTGCTAGAGTTCTACTGTGGGCGGACTGGGGGAAGCAGCGTGCATCCTGGGAAGTTGCTGCCATGTAGATGCTGACTTTCTTTTTTCTTCTCCCCTCCCCCCAGGATCGCTATGGTTCCTACTGATAACAAGCTCCTTGCTTAGGCCTCTGGTGGTGACAGAAGCAAGAACTCATGATTCCCAGGCCAGGGATACCTGCCTTGTGGAAGCTGGGAGGATTTGTTACTTTCTGTGTGTGGTGTGTGAGTGGGGTGACTTTGGAGGATCTTGGGCAAGGGGAATGGTCAGCACCAGCCCTTGTCCTCTGCCTGTGGATTAAGCCCCTATTCTGGTCCCCTCACGCCCCCTCCTCTGTGCTAGTGTCCTTCCAGTCCTGCCCACAAGCTGCTGCTCGCTCGGCCTGCAACGCTGGGAGTGAGGGGGGGGAGTTGCCTCTGGGTGACTTATTCTGGGTCCAGCCCTTCCACAGGTTGGGAACGTGAAAGCCTAAGGCTTTGTGGGCTCTAGGATCCTTTTTAGGTGGTGGGGGGCTTGGGCCTTTGTCCAGTGGAACCAGGGGGAGGCCTAGCAAGAGTTATGCTGTAGACCAGCTCCTGGGGAGAGGCTCTGGACATGCCACTGCTGCTTTTACTCTTCTGGAGGCAGGGGAGTGGAAGGACCTTCTTCTAGGCCTTACTAAGGACTAGAAACTATCTGGCACCTAAAGGTTTCGTTTGGGATCAGCCTGGAGGCCTGTCTTACTGCCACCACAGAGGCTGACTTCTGCTACATGTCCCTGAACCCTTCCCTATCATCACTGGGTCATGGCACCCACTGTCTGCGCCTGGGACTCTGTCCCTTCTTCCCTGGTTGATGCCCACATTGGGTCTCATCTGCCCTGTGTCCTGACTGGAGGCGGTGGGTATGCTCCTAGCTGGCTGAGGAAGCTGAGAACATGAGGGACAGAAGCAGGCTCCTTGGGCTCAGCTTCCTTCCTCTACATCATCCTGGGCTGAGGAGGCCTGGACAGCCCCCTAATGGCCTGCAGGCCTCACCTCTGGCAGCTGGGCCATGCACTGTGTCATCCTTGGTGCCATCTTGCCCTGCCATGCTGGCAGTCGGCCCAACCCCTACCTGTGGGTCTCAGGTTGGGCTTCCAAGCAACACAGATCACTCTTCCCTCTTCCCCTCCCCAGAGGGACATGACTTTCTTTCAGGACTGTTTGTATTGAAACAAAGTGGTGTCAAAATAAAGCCCCCACGGGGCCCTATGGGTCAACGTGAAGGAGTGTCCTCCATCCTGCCTCCCTGCCCAGTGTAGCCCCTTGCTCACTCTCTGGGCTCCCACCGATACTGGTTGGGCGTCGTTGCTGAAGCCAAGAATACTCTCTCTGGGGCCTCCAGCTTGTCTCTTGCCCCTGTGCTGCCGTGCAGTCCGCTGCAGCCTGGACCTCACCACCCTGTTGCATGCGGAGGAAAGAGCTGGTGTTAGTTGGCCCTTTAGCCCACCTGCAGAGCCTAGGGCTGAGTAACCTTAGCAGCCCTATTCCTCATGACGGGGGGCTTGAATAGGGATGGGTCTCATTACTGAGTTTAAATTAAAAAGTATATATATATATATATATATATATATATTTAGGCGTAAGTGGGACCGTTTTTAATCCTGAAAGCGTGGATGCATTTGTGCACACACCCCCCCCCCCCCCCTTGGCTTGGATCTCCCTTTCCTGACAAGGGCCCCTGAAACATCTCTGTGACGCTTAGAATCCTCAAGTACAGTTAGAAACTACTGGTCTGGGAGATAGTAGAGGCTTAGGATGGGTAGAGCCATAGGGCTCAAAGCCAGTGACTTCAAATGTGGTTCTGGGGTTCCAGTTTTGGAATCCTTTCAAGTGTTCATAAAAATTCCTGATTTCTACGGGGCACAGTGGCGCATGTCTGTAATCCCAGTGGCTTGGGAGGCTAAGGCAAGAGGATTGCTTGTTCAAAGCCAGCCTCAGTACAAGTGAGGTGTTAAGCAACTCAATAAAATACAAAATAGGGCTGGGGATATAGCTCAGTGGTCGAATGCCCCCAAGTTCAATCCCTGGTACCAAAAAAAAAAAAGAAAAAAAAATCTTATTTCTGATTGGGCATGGTGGCACGTGCTTGTAATCTTAGTGGTTCAGGAGGCCAAGGAAGGGGAATCATAAATTCAAGGTCGGCCTCAGCAATTTAACAAGACCCTGTCTCAAAATTAAAAAAAAAATAAAAAGGTCTGGGGACATGTTTCTGTGGTTAAGCATCCCTGGATTCAATCCCTGTGGCTCCCCCCACCTCAAAAGAAGAAAAAAATCCTGATTTCTGGATCCCCATCCAGAGTCACTCTGAGACTTAGGAAGTAGCTGCATTGTGATTGATGCTTACTGGGATTGGAGAAAACTCAAGGGCTGGAATAGTTTTGGAACAGGCCTCCCAGTACTGCAGGACTTCAGGAGCCATTTCTTGCAATTATCCATGGCTAGTCTTGGTAATGAGGAGCCTAGGAAAGTGTTTGCTTAGTAGTAGGGACACCTGCTTCAGAAGAGGCAGCCTGCTTTGCTTGGGCCCCTTGGGTCCCCACCCCCAAAAAAGTTAAGAGACCACCTGCCTTACCTTCCTCCCATCTTAGGGAGCTTGTACACCTCAGGCCTGTTTTCACAGCTGCATCCCTGCCGCCCTAACCCTGAGCAGGTCCAGTGTTTCAAGAAGGTTGTGCAGTGCCAGCCCTCTGTAGCCAGGTCTAGAAGAACCTGTCCCTGAACCCTCTGAGCTTTTCTGAAGGCCATTCCAGCTGCGTGCACCCCTCCTTTGGCTGCTCACATGCAGATGGACCCCTGGCAACCTCAGCAGGTCTCCAGGCATGAGGGGCCCACCAGCCCCACCGCCCCTCCCCCTCGTGCCAGTAAAGCACTCAAACCCAAACTTCCCCTTTCCCTTCACCCTTCAGCCTAGTGGTTTTAGACTCACTGCTTATCGGACACAAGGGACTTTATTTCAGCCTTCACTATTAGATACAAGAAACCCAAAGCAGATTTTGAAAACGAAATTATCTTCTTGCCTACCCTTCTTCCAATCATGGCTGGTGTCTGATTCCTCCAGCAGAAGCCACAGTGGTATGTCCTCCTAGTACTTGCTCTTAGGTGTCACCCTGACCATTCATGGCCCTGCATAGCTATTCACGTCTCCCCCTTAGTGGAGCTGCTGTGAGGAGATGACCCCGATCAGGGCACTAGCAGAGGCTGGCTGAAAAGAAACTGCTGCTCTTAATAAATAGAAGGACTAGTCAACAAAAGACTAAGGCCAGGTCCCCTTTCCAGTGATGAGGAGGCCTCAGAGCAGTCCATAGTTTAAGGTCTGACGAAACCCCAAGGGCTAACAGCCAAGGAGAATGGGCTATTTAGTTTCTAGGGTCACTGCTCGGCTTGGCTGATTACTGAAGTGGCCTTTGGCTGGGGCTGTTACTCAGCCTTTTCATCAGGAGAGGGCAGCACAGCAAGGTGTGGAGAGGAGGTCAGCGGAGGTGCCATGGGCTGGAGTGGGAGAAAGTACAGGGCACAGGCGGGCCCTAGAGATTCCTCAAGTCTCGGACTCGTCTGTCTCTTCAGTGGAGCCATCGCTTTCTGCATCCACTTTGCGGGAGTGATGGAGAGGTCTCCATGGGGAGCCAACCCGGGGAGGGATCCGGGAAGGCAGGCAGCTGGCCTCTGGAGTGGCAGAGTTGACCAGGCCTGGGACCTGGACCAACCTGAAGAAGGGAAAAAGTCCGGAGGGCAGCATGGTGCCACATGTCCGGAGCCCAGGACCTCCATGCTCACTTGCTTTTGGATGAACCCCCAAGGACTCAGGATAGCTCAGGCCTCTGCTGGCCCCCAAGCCCTTCTTTGACCAGTGTGGCATGTTACTGACATGTGCTGTGTGACCTGTGATGGGGCACAGCCATGTCTGACTCAGATTTGGCTCCCACAAGAGGGCAGCACCTTCCCACTTGACACTTACAGTCGTTCCAGTTCCTCGTCCATGGCTGGGTCATGCATCAGGTCCCCTTTGTCAGGCAAAGCTCCTAGGAGATGATGGGGGGCAGGGACAACAAGACAAACTGAAGGTCTGTTGGCCAGGCAGCAGATGCTTCCATGTCCCTCACCTTCATGTGTGCCTATCTGCTGACCCTGGGAGAACTGACCTAAAAGACCTGGGGACTGCTACAGAAATCCCAGACAGTGATGGGGCAGGATGTCCTGGGTGCCACTTGGTAAATTTAATGAACCCCTGTGCCCTCCATCCCTTATTTGGAGCAGACACAACAGCCAGGGAGACATCTCTAAATAGGCTCGTGAGCTGGTGCTAGGGGTTTACTCCCTGAGGACCCAGATACTGGACTGAAAGGTATATGACCCAAGCTAACTCCAAAGGTCAGAAATCACCCAGTTTTATGACCCCAAGTATCCCATTTTGGAGACAGCAAAAAATGCTGACTCTATCCAAGAGATGATCCATCCCATCCTGAGATCTCTCCCATCTCCAGTCTTTGCTGGTTTCCTTAGCTACAAACTAAGAGGGGTTAACTCTTTGATATTGGGGAAAGGTGAGAGGAGAGAGTTTTAGATACTCCCAGGAGTTCTTTACTCAGGTGCGAAGGTGAAGCTGAAGTTTGCAAGCAGGAAGATTCTCACTAGCAAATTGTTGAAGGAAAAGACCTCATTGGTAGTTTAGAACCTAGTCAAGAATGCTGGTCTTGGCAGCTGGGGACATAACTCAGTTGGTAGAGTGCTTGTCTGGCATGCTGCACAAAGGTCCTGGGTTCAATCCCCAGCATCACCAAAAAAAAAAAAAAAAAAAAAAAAAAGCTGGTCTCCAGAAAGATACAATCTGGCACTAATTCAGTTTCTGAATTTTCCAGATCTTTTCCAGATGATGCCTCTTGGCTCCCTTTGCTCTAAGTTAGTGGTTTTCAAACTATGTCCCATGGAACCCTCTCATTTTTGGGTGTGCCCTGTGGTGGTGGGGGCTCTCCACTACTGGCTTCAACCAAGATATTTCTAGCTTTCTAGCTCCTACCCTGGAGATGCAGGCGAGGGCAGGGACCATATGCTTCGTTCTGTCTTTAACTCTAGTCAACATAAATGCCCAGTAAAAGTTGTCTAAGTGTCCTTAGGAACAGTGATGGGTCACAACCAGGATCCAGTGACTGATGAGCTTTTCCTTTTCCTTCCTAGCAGCTGCCACTGGTGGAAAGGAAGGGAAAATGGACAGTGACCTAGGGGTGGAAAGGACACCTAGCAAATACCCGCTCTGCTCCCTTCTCTCTCAATTTATTTATTTTTAATGTGGTGCTGGGGATTGAACCCAGGGCCTTGTGCATGGGAGGCAAACACTCTACCAACTGAGCTCTATCCCCAGCCCCCTCTCTCAATTTATGTCTGCCTTCTTTCTAGTCCTAGTCCTACTGATGACCTTGGCTACCAACCTCACTCAATTGAAGGGTCCCCGATTCAAAATAACCAGACTGCCAGGTGGCCACATGGAGAGTTAGCATGGGGTTAGCACCCACGTGTCTCCCAGAGAGCCCCTGGCAGGGGATATGCTGTGGACACAGCCCCTTGAGCACTGTGATGGGCATTAAGTGAATGTCAACTTTTGCCCCCCCCCCCCCCGCCTCCTCCTTCAACTGGCGAAACTTCCTTCTTTGAGACTCAGGAAACTGGATCCCAGCACATGAGGAGGATTTCTTGAGGAAATACAAATAGGAACCCTTAAAACTCCAGCAGGAAGGTGGCTTGCTGGCTCTTCCCCTGGGGAGCAGTGGCTGAGGGCAGGGGTGGGTGGAGGAAACCAACGCAGTGACAGGAGGAAAGCTGGGCCAGTGCAGCTTCCCCCCACTTTTTTTTTTTTCCTCCTTTCAGATTAATCAGATTTTTTCCTCCCCACTGGGAAAACAGGCCTCCCAGTCACACCTCTGCCCTGTTTCTAAATGGGATTCAGACATTTATGATATGAAATCTCCAGAGCCACTGAGTCAATAGCCCTGTGTCATCCAACCCGCAGTCCACTCCCTCAAGCAGAACTGGGGAGTCTTCAGGGAGGGGCTGGGCATGCCTTTGCCATGGAGAGGTTCTCCCTTAGAGGCAGGAAGGCTGTCCCTTGCACCGCAGTGTGAGAGGCCTATGAAGGCGGTCTTCCGTGGAGCATACTCTGGCTCCCTAGGACCCAGAGGCTGGCTCTGCAAAGTCAAAGCAGGTTAAGATACTGCCTATCCCCATGGGGCCATGGCTGCCCACGGAGGCTAGCTGAATTGTGGGGGAAGGTGCTGGCAGTTAGCACTGGCTTACCTAGAGCCTGGTTGATTCCATGGTGCTTCGAGAGGGCCACAAGAAATCCATAGAAGGTCAGTCTCTGGACGTTGCTTAGGACCTCTTTGACAAGTGCTGGGGGTGGGCAGCTAGAAAGGAGAATACAGATGGAGTGCCATCTTTTCATCCATACCTTTGGGCTTAGAAGGACATCAAAGTCAAGACCCAGAGACCTGTTGGGGGGCCCCTAAGGCCCAGGAGGAGCATGGCAGTTCTTTAGGAGAAAGGAAGGAAGGGCTGGTGTGTTCACAGGGATTTTTACAGAGGGGTATAGGAGGGCAGGGAGGAGGAAATCGCTACTGGTGACAGCCAGTTCTAGGAAGAGACCAAAACTGACTGCTGTTTCTCTCCTGGGACTTTGCACCACACAGGACAGTTTAACCTCCCCTTTCTGTGGGGAGAAGTTAGGAACAGTGAATGCTCTTTCCTTCTTAAGAAATCAAGGCCAGTCTGTCTCTTGGCAAGCTGGTCAGCTATGGTTGGTCTTGCCCAAGTGAAAAATATCTTTTCTACGTGAGCCAGCTTTTTAGTTATAACCTGGTTTCAGGGCAAATGGCCCTGTTATGATTTATATCATGACCATCAAGGGCCATAGAAGCCCTGGGCCAATCAGAACATCCCATCAGAGACCTGTTCCCAGGCCAGCAGCCTGTGGTCCCTGAGGCTGAGGTGGGGTCTGCAGCCCATTTCCCACCTGTACTTGTGCCGGTCACACAGGTTTTCCAGGCACTGGTAGAACAGCGACGCCTCCACTCCCTCCAGCATGCCAGCCTCGCCCAAGGCAGGTCGCTGGCGGTGCTGCCCACTGAATGATGTTGGCACAATCACGGTATTGGGGTTCTTGCCTGACAGCAGGTCCTGATAGATGGCAGCCACGCTGTCCAGGAATTCTGGTGCCGTGGGGGTAGGAAGACACAGTTCATTTCAGGGAGGACATATTTGGTCCTTTCATTGTGTCCTCCCTTCTCTGCTGACAGTCAGCTTCACCCCAGCCTCCATGTGCAGTGCATGGTGCCCGAAGAGCAGAGCGTCCCAGCACAGGGTTTGATTGCCACCCTTCAGAGCTCAGAGGTCCTACCCTATGGGCAGTTGTTCCCAGACTAGGCAAGATCCCCACTGCATACTTTCATAGCACCCTATACTTTTCTTGCTAGCACTTATCCAATGACAAGTTTTCAGTGCAGTTACTTCGGTTAACCTGTCTCCTTGCTGGAATGTAAAGTCCTTGTTTCAAGGCAGGAGTCATGCCTTATTTCTTCCCTGTTCCAGCATTTAGCACTGTGGCTGGCACATATTAAACGTTAGAAGAACTGTTTTGAAACAATGGTAAGCCCTATCTTGTGAGGCCACCTGCCTCTTCTAAGAAAGCATGCTGGAATCCCAGTGAAGAACGAGAAGCCTCCAAGTCGCTAACCTAGTAACTGCTTGAAATTGTTTTCAGATTTTCATAGTTGAGTCATTGTTAGAAATCAGTGACTTGCAGCCCATCTCGTCACTCACACACAGCTCTGCAGGGTCAGGATGCTAGAGACCCAAGTGGGCTGCCCTGTCCTTCTGGGAGTGCTGTGAGAGGAGGGCCCCGAAGGCAGTGAGGGGAAATGGTTTTCCCAAACATGGCTGCTCCTTCTCTGGGACCCAAGAGCTTTAGAGAAACTGGAAATAGTTGCCTGGTGCTGCTAGGAGCAGGTGGCAAGACCCCAGGCTTCAGCCCCTGCCTGAATAGCCCTTGGGCTGCCATCAAGTAAACAGAATGTGGCGCCTGAGTCCAGGGCTGGCTGGGGCCACCAGCTGGCAGGACGGCCATCTCCAAGCTCCAAGGACAGCCTTCTATTTACTGGAAGAGCCTGTTTTAAACAAGTTTGTTTGTGGACACAGTCAGCAATTTCTAAACCCCACATTCCATTTGATGTTGCTTGTATATACATTTGTAATTATTCGTCTATTTTTATGCCACCTGATTCCAGAAGGGATTTAAGGGCATGGCTGGTGTGAGTTGGGGAGCAGAGTGATTTGTGAGATAGAACCGCTGTGTGCTTATTTAAAGCTATGAGAGTGGTAGGATGTGTGTCCACACATGTGCCCAAGGGCCAAGGCAGCGGCTCAGAGCTCAGGATTTACAGCCTGCCTCTGTTCAAGTCTGGGCTGCACCACTTATTAGCTGTGTGACTTTGGCTACTTACCTCTGTAAGCTTATCTCGTAAAGGACCTATCAGGGTGTTGAAGATTAAGGTTCTCAGGGCTATGCCTGAGACATAATAAGCATTCAATAAGGAGTGGATGCTATTAATGTTGTTATTGTCGTTATCACTTAAACAGATTTGTTGTGCTGCTGGCTGGAAGCAGTGTGGTTTTCAATGTCTTCAGGAAGTAGGCTCTGCAGACTGAATCTGGTGATCACCAGTGTGGATTAGACATCCTGTTAGCGCCCGCGGTGCAGCACACCCCCAGAGGAAGTGGGGAAGGAAACGTGTGCCAGGCACACAGATGGAAAGAACGACAGGGTGGGAAAGGGAGCCATGGCCTAGACAGGAGCCACATGGGACCTGGAACACGCTCACCTGAGTAGTAAAACTGGATCTGGAAGGCAAAAAGGAAATCTGAAAAAGACATCAAGCAGTCCATGGCATCGTCCATGAGCACGATCCTGAAGGGAGAGAGAGACAGCTGTGAGACACAGTGTGTGTGAGCGTGAGAGAACGCACAGGGGTCTCCATAGTCCACTTGGGAGACGGCTTCCAAAAGCAAGCTCCTCCCAGTCACCTCACTTTTTCTCCATCAATTGGACTCTGCCACCAAACTGAGCTGACTGTACTGCACCAAGAGTGGGTTCCCAGTTCAGTCTCAGTGGCACCAGCCAGCGGATGGAGCCTGGGCAGAAAGGTGGGGGTGGGCCGCAGAAGAGGGTCAGCTGTAATGCAGCCAGGATTTCTTTTCATATACTTAAGCAGTAAGTCCTTTCATTCTGCAGTGAGGACCATTTAGTTCAGAATAAATACAGCTGATCAGAAAAGGCAAAAAGAACAGCTGAGAGGTTTCAAGGGGTCTTGGCAAGTGGTACTAAGATTTAATAAGCTACCAAACGGCCAGAACAGCAACAGGCACCTCCACCCTGGGACACAGATGGCAGAAGAGAGGGCAAAGAGCTATTGGGGGCTGCACTTGAGAGGGTCAGAGAACACATCCCTTCTTGGGGTGCAGTGGAGGCTGCTCCCCCTCTCCCTGCTTTAGCGTGTGCTCATGGGCACTGCCCCTTGCTGTCTGTTCTCATAAGTTGACCACCTCTTGTTTTTCCCCTGACTCTAGTCCCTCCACTGAGCACCCACCTCACAGGAAGAAAACCATTTGACTAGTAAAGGGATCAGACCAGGCCATGTTCATACTCTGCTCAGGGTCACATCTGATGGGGGACAGGAAGAGAAGGAAATTAGCACTTGCTGGGCTCCATCCATGTGCCAGGCAGGGTGCCAAACTCCTCTACTGGAGTGGAGCTGGGCCCCCAATCTGTTTCTGACGGTGCCCTTCTGGCTTTATGTTTTCTTTTTTAAAAACTGCTTGACTGTATTTTTCTAATTCTCCATTTCCCTGTCAGAGGGCCCTCAAACTGGCAACTGGATCAGCTCCATAGAGCCAGCATTGCTTGCCTCTCAGGGAAGCGGCTTTTTTGAACACAGTGTGAGTGGTGTCCCTGCTAGAGTTGGGCAAGTCAGCTGGACTGAGCTTCAGATCTCCCTGAAGAGAGAAAAAGTTTCCTAGCTAGTCTTTAGTTGTAAGTATGATAATAGAAACAGGCACCATTTACCGAGTGCCCTACTTTAGGCAAGCACTGTAGAAGGTATTTAGCTACATTAACTGAATTGTATCCAAGATATGCTATCAGGTTGTTCTTGTTATTAACTCCATTTACAGGTGAAGAGTCTAAGTGGCAGAGTAGCCAAGTTCCACATGGCTGATGAGTTTACACGACTCCATAGTTGGGTACTGTCAATGAGTCACACCACCTCTTAAAAATGAAGAAAAGCAGAATAGAAACACTGAAATTTTATCTCCTAGCTTCTGTGGATAATTTATGTTCCTTCTTTTTTTTCTCATCCAGATCTTAGGGCTTTAACTGTTTTTTATGTGCTTCTTGGGGAGGAAAAAAGCCACCTCCAAAAAAATACAGGCTAAAGGGTAGCAATGCTGCCGAGGGCCACAGGAGGGCACTCTGGTCCCTCCATCCGTGGCTCCTGGGATTACACAGGCCAAGCAAGTAGTTAACCACCTCTCATAACCTAAGGAAAACCAGGACAGGCAAAAGGAAGATAGAGGACACTGAGCCCAGTTCTGACATCTGGATGGGGAGAGAGAAGTAGAGGGCAGTGAGGTAGAAGGTGATGGAATAAAGGCACCCAAACCACAGAGGAAAAGGGAGCACTCCCAGGGCGCTCAGGGAGGAAGAGTCGCCAGCACCTCAGGAGAAGAGAAGCCAGAGACCTTCCTGCCCCACACCCAGCACCCTAATGGCCCAAAGCTAATGATTTCAGAACTGCATCAGGCTGAGAGCAAACCCTTCAGGAAAACAGGAGGGAGACTCTGAAGCCTTTGAAATTGATACATGCTTCTAGTTTATCATTAACCTGGAACCCAGTTGCTCCTGTTTGTAGCCATTACCGCCACTTATTTTTTTTATATTTATTTTTTAGTTTTTCTTAAGTGGACATAATATCTTTATTTTACATTTATGTGGTACTGAGGATCGTACTCAGCACCTCAAGCATGCTTGGCAAGCGCTCTACCACTGAGCCACAACCCTAGCCCCTTACCTCCATTTATTATTTGTCTTTTTATTTATTCATTTGTGATGGAATTCATTTGTGATGCAATTAAAATGAAATAAAATTCACCCTTTGAAAATGTATAATTTTAGTGCTATTCAAAGTTTTAGTATTTCAAAAAATTGTGCAGCCATCACTACTAATTCTAGACGTCACCTCCCTTTGTAATCCCCATTCATCAGCATGCTCTCAAGACAGGTCCTGTCACTGAGGCTTTGAAGAAGATCGCCACGGGCATCTTCCTCTTTCAGCCACAGGTTGGACTATAACACACCCTGCTCAACAAAGAGGAGCGCATCCTCCCTAGCCCACATGGGGCAAAACTGTGTGCATCCTTCCAGCCACAGAACAGGCAGAGCTCTCTGTCAGGTGCTGTCCTTGATTTTAAGATTAAGCTTACCTCCCCCTGTTTTTGTTTGTTTCTTTGTGTTTAGTGTTTATGGTTTTATTTAAACACAGGAGCCATTGACTCATTTTCTTCCTGGTGCAGCCTAGCACTGACACTCTGATGGGCTGCTGTTTCTAGGATGACTTTGCCCTTCTTGGAGGAAACACTGTGAGCAAGTGCAGCATAGTAAGATTTGTGGCACATCAGCAGCGCTTCCAACTCCTTGACTTTTCTGGAAGGCACTGGGCAACATGTGCTTGGTTTTCTCGTTGCTCCTGTAACCAATGCTGGGCATCAAGATCTGACCCTTGAGTCTCCTCTGCACTCTGCAGTTGATACCTCTGGATTCCAGGCAGTTATGCTTAAAATTTTTTTTTTTTTTTTTAAGATATCAGGAATTGAACTCAGGGGCACTCAACCACTGAGCCACATCTCCAGCCATATTTTGTATTTTATTTACAGACAGGGTCTCACTGAGTTGCTTAGTGCCTTGCTTTTTGCTGAGGCGGGCTTTGAAATCACCATCCTTCTGCTTCAGCCTCCGGAGCTGCTGGGATTACAGGCGTGCGCCACGGCGCCTGGGAGTTACACTTAATTTTGACATATTGGTCAGACTTGTGCCAGATGAACTTCTTGGTCTTTTGGGTTTCACAAAAGGTCTGAGGGGTGGCCATTATGGCTGCCACCTCTGGAGGCAGTGACAAGAAAGAGAGACTAGCCCCTCTTTGAAGATGGGTCCTATGATAAGGCGAGGCTTGGTGGGGCCAGGGTGGCCCTGGTGTGCGCTGCTCCTGTCCTGGCTGCTTGCTTGTCTGAAACTTCTATGGGTTGGCAGGGACAGTGGGCATGTCAAGGGAAACAGACAGAAGCAGGGGCCTTCTTTCTAAGGGTCATGTGGCTGGGATTTGTGTGAAAAGGTCTGAGGAGTTTTCTCCACTGCCAACAGTGATACTGGGTGCCACAAAGCCAATGGGATTCTTGGTTTTCCTACAGCAACAACACCTACTAGTTCTGCTCAGCCAGAAACCTGGCAGGCACCCTAGACATCCTGGAAACTCCCTCCCTCGCCTACCCCCAAGCAGTCAATCAATCAATTAATCGCCAAATCCTGTCAATCCTATGGCTGAAAGTTCTCTTCAGTCAGCTCTCCACTTCTGTAGCCACCACCTCCCAGCCAGCCTCCACCTCTTTCTTCCTGCTGATGATGCAGCTTCCTCCCCAGTTTCCCTGCAGTTACTTGCCTTCTAGTTGGGGATCCACACTGTGGTTGGTACTCAATGCAAACTTGACCATTTTACCATTGCTGCCTAAAATCCTTCACAGGCTGTCCTCAGCACAGAGTCCCCCATTCTTGCCCTGGTTTATAAGCTTACCTGATCCACCATCTCCCCTTAGCTCTCACGACTTGGGGGCCCCTGGGAGCATCCTTCATCAAATGTCAGCCGCTTTAGCCACGCTCATCCTGCAGTCCTCTCTAGGCCTCCTTCCCCAGGTCCTGCACCAGCCGTTCCTCTCCTACAATGCTGCACCCCTGCCCCACCTTACTGCTGCCTGCACAGCCTGAAGTGAGAGAAGAAAGCACCTGCCAGACTGCGGCAGGTCTCCCTACTGCCGGCTTCTTTCCGCAGTTCTCCACAGACAGCTCTTTCAGGCTGAACTCAAAACTCCTCATTACCTGCCTTTGCCCTAGGACTGTAAGTTCCACCAAGTGACAACTCTGTCTCCCTGCTCATTGCTTGACTCCGGGGTCCAGCACGTTGCCTGGCACAGAACAAGCACTCGGTAAATATCTGTAAAATTCATGAACAAGTAAGAAAGTTTACACTACTGCTACCCTTTTATTTTCCCCTGGCTAGATGACACCCTGACACTACATTCAGTTCTGGACAGTCCATTTAGGAGGATAAACTAGAGTCATGGAAAAGGGGGTCAGAGTGGTACAGAGTCTAAAAACTATGACATCAGACAAATGGCTGTGTTTTAGATCCTTTGGCTTAGCAGAGAAGGCTCAGAGGAAGTGAGGGCTGAGACCCAACTCTTTTTTTGTTTTGTTTTTGGTACTGGGGATTAAACCCAGGAGGGTTCTACTGCTGAGCTACATCCACAATCCTTTTTTCTTTCTAGACAAGGTCTTGTTAAGTGGCTAAGGGTCTCACTAAGTTGTGGAGGCTGGTCTTGAACTTGCTAGCCTCCTGCCTCAGCCTCCTGAGTGGCTGGGATTACAGGCATGCACCATTGTGCCCTCTAACCCAATTCTTGGAGGGCCCCTCTGAGGAAGATATCACAGGGATATTGAGTTTGGTTCTAAAAGACTTTTTCAAGCTTCCCAGGTTCAGGATTGTGGCTGCTTTGTGAAGAGTGAGCTGCTTGTTGCTGGAGAAGTTCATGCAGAAGCTGAAAGGCTCATATATCCCAGATCATTTGCTCCAGTCCTGGCAGAGT